CCAAGGGCTGAAAAAGGCCCATGCCATCCGGCTTCAGCGCCATAGGCACTCTGATCCTGATCGCGCGTGGGCTTGCCCGCGGGGGACGCTTGGCGTTGGGGCGAACGCGCGGCCGAGGCGAGATTGCCCGGCGAGCCTTCGACCAGACGTCCAAATAGGCGTAGCTGGCCCATCATGTCCGCCAGATGGGGTGCGTCCGTAGGGTAGGCCATGAACCTCCGTGAACGTGGAAGTCGGATCATTCGATGGGCTGACGTTCGCGGCAGCGCTCGCAGCCGAGTGCTGTGACGACGAAGGGCCCCCGAGCATCTCGAACACAGTTCGAAAGTTCCTGGGGGGGAGGCGCGGGAAACGCTGTCCTTCTGGTACATTTTCTTGGACTCGTAGATGTGCTGATTCTTCTGCGACGCTGATGGCGGCTGGGCCTGACTGGCCCCGCCGGCTCCTCGAGGCACGGCGCCTGCCGGGGGGAAGTAGATGATCCGCACGGTGGTGAAGCGGAGCGTACAGCGGGATGTCGTTGTCGTCGAAGAGCGGTCGCCAGTGGCTCGAGGCATCGCCGCGCGGGCCATGGCGGCTGTGGTGGTGGATCAAAGTGCTCCGCTACCAACTAGACTGTGCAGCGGTGGATGAAAACTACATCGTTTCGGTAGAGCGGATGTGTAATAAGGTGTAAAGCGAGTATCATAGCGGTGATCACCTTGAGCCAAATGCCCATGGCGAGCCCCGAGCACCCGCATTATAGCTGCTATGCTACACATGCCTCTGCCTGGCTATCCACCTTTCGAGTATGAGGAGGACGAGGCGGAGAAGGAGGAGAAAGAGTAGGAGGAGAAAAAGGAGGAGGTGAAGGTGGAGGAGGAGGAAGATGAGGGAATATGAAGGAACATGCGGATGAGGCAGAAGGAGGAATCAGACAAGGGAGGAGAGATGGACGGAAGAGGAGGAGGATGAGGACACGGACAAACAATAACAATAACGAAATTCGGTTCGGTCGTCCTCGAGGCCGCGGGTACAGTTCACAGCTGCCGTGCGAGTGCCACAACCTATGGCTGCAACCGTCGGGACAAGGATGAGAAGGAGGAGGAGGAGGAGGAGGAGGAGGAAGAGGAGGAGGAGGAGGAGGAGGAGGAGGAGGAGGAGGAGGAGGAGGAGGAGGAGGAGGAGGAGGAGGAGGAGGAGGCGCAGGAAAAACACGACGAGGAGGGGGAGGCACACGAATATCTGGAACACAAAAAACAATTATCAAGATGATGGCGATGATGAGAAACAACAATAATATTAGTTACTCGAAATTCAAATAGGAAAAAACAGGTTTTACAGGCGCTTGCCTGGGGAACATTCGGCGGCGCGTTTCGTACCGGGGGGTGGTCCCCCCCCAACACTCGACGCCGTCGATCAAAACCAGGGGGACTCCCCTCCCCCCCCCCCTCCCCCCCCCCCCCCCCCCCCCCCCCCCAAGGGGGGGGGTTCAAACCCCTCCCCCTCCCCTCGGTGCCAGCGCCGGCGCTGGCGGCCGCCAGCAGCGCCCACGGCGGGGACGCAGCGACGATGACCAGAGGCAGCCCAGGGGGGGGAGCAGGGGGGTTGAACCCCCCCCCCCTCCCTGGCGCCGGGGGGGGTTCAAACCCCCGCCCCCCCCTCGCGCCGGCGCCAGCGCTGGCGGCGGCCAGCAGCGCCGGCGCTGGCGCCGGCGACGGCGGGGACGCAGCGACACTTACCACCACTACCGCCACCACCACCACCACCACTACCACCACCACTACCGCCCCCACCACCACCCCACCACCACCACCACCACCACCACTACACCACCACCACCACCACCACCAACAGCAACACACAACCACCACCACCACCACAGCCACCACCACCACCACCACAACCACAACCCACCATCACCACAACCACCACCCCCACAATCTACCACACCACCACCACCACCGCCACCACCACCACCACCAGCACAACCCACCACCACCACCACCACCACAAACCACCACACCACCATCACCACCACCACCACCACCACCACCACAAACCACCGTTGTCCTCGTCGACGCCCCCCGCCACCGCCGCCCGCCGCCGCAGGCGCCGGCGCTGGCCCAGAAATGGAAATCGTCGTCCCCGCCGCCGTCGCCAGCCGCCGCCAACACACGCGCCGGCCCGAGGAGAGGGGGCGCAGATGAGGGAGGGGGGCGGGGTCCGGTTTCACCCCCCCCCCCTCCAAGCGACCACAGAACGCACTCTTTCGCAAATCGACATACCTTTCCCCCGACGATGGATGTGCAACAATATAAGGTCCCACAACCTCGACCTGAGGGCAGGCCGCTCCTCAGATTCGCGGTGGCACGCGTTTATTTAATGTATACTAGATTGCCAGTCCTCTACCCACGAAGTTTCGACGACACGAGCTGTCTGCACGCACATGGATAACTCGGTGGCCAGCAAAGGAGCAGCCAGAAAGGGGCGAAGAAGAGGAGGACAATAAGGATGATGAGAGGAACATCAGAAAGCAAAATCAGGCGTGCTGCGTGCGAGCGGGGCCCAGAGTGACTAAAGCGCACCACTCCTGTTTTGAAGAGCCACGTGGAACTCAGTGCGGCAAGCGTCGGGTGGCGAATGCGTAAAAGCAGTGGCCATGATGTGATCAAGCAGGAGGCGGAGGGAACGAGAGGACCGGCAGGCGCGGAGCAGGAGGGGGCAGCTCAGACAAGATTTGTCTGAGTATGGGTGGGCCTGGGTCTGAGCGGGTACGGGTCGTCAGTCATTGGTGCGTGGGTCTGCGCTGCGCCCAACTTCCGCCTGTCTTTTCCTCCTGCCGCCGTTTGAATCGCGCTTTCCATTGCCCGGACCGCCGACTGAGCGCGCGTGTGGAGTGCCTCTGCCGCGCTGCGACGTAAAACATGGGTTTGAGCTGCATAATTTCTGAGCAGGTGCAAATGACTTTTGGGGAGTCAGGGTGTGAGTGGGCTTGGAAGCGAATGTAAGTACCATATCGTAGTAAAGGTAAGTCTGAATATGAGCGAACGGATCCGTGGATTCCGTGGGGGTTCCCGGGACCTCTCGGGGCGTTCCTGCCCTCCCTGGAACTTCCTGGAGTTTTGGGCCTCCTGGGGCGCCCTGGGGCCTGATAAATGTAATGTCTACTGCGCCGCGATTGTCATGCGGCTGTGAAAAGAGGCGGTTCTGCCCCCAAAACTGCAAATTCTACTTGAAGGTTCAAGCGATCTGCGCGCGACTGGGTCTGTGGAGCACCCTGTGGCGGCTCGCCAAAAAGGCCGGCATGCGATGCCTGCTACGTCGAGGTGACCAAGGCCGTGAACAGAGACGCGTCTACTCGGCCGAGGGGGCGTTTCACCTGAGAGGTCCGCGCACTCTGGGTGCGAGCGAGCCCTTGTGGAACCCACGTGCCACGCCTGTTACGCGCGCCGCGGTGATCATGGTGCTGGGAAAACAAGCAAGTCAGCTGGACCACACGGGTGTTTCGCTCGAGAGGTCCGCACAATCTGGGCGTGAGGTGACCTGTGCAGTACCCTTGGCGACATCCCACCTTGAGAGGCCCAACTGCGATGTCTGCAACGTCGCGGCGATCTTGGGGTTCTGAAAGAGAGGCGCCTAGCCTACTCGTCCAAAGGGGGCGTTCGCCTGATGAGTCCCCGCAATCTGGGCGCGAACTGGCACGGGCAATGCCACCTGACGGCTCCTGCTCGGGATGCCCCCGTGCCACGCCGCGGTGAACGTGAGGCTCTGGACATAAACGCGTCCACGGGGCCAGGACGGGCGTTTCGCTTGAAAGGTCCTCGCGATCTGGGCGTGAACTGGCCTGTGTAATACCACCTGACGGCTCCCGCTTGGGAGGCCCAAGTGTCATACCAGCTCCGCCGCGGCCTGGGGCTCGGAAAAGACACACCTCCACCGGGCCAGGCTGGGTGCTCCGTCTCAGAGGTCCCCGCACTCTGGGCGTGGACGGGCCCACGTAATACCCCCTGGCGGCTCCCCCCCCCTGACATGCCCGAGTGCAGTGCCTGCCACATCGCAGAGACGCTGGGGCTCCTGGCAGAAGACACGCCCACTGGGCCGAACACGGGCGTGTGGCTTGAGGGGTCCCCCTGGTCTGCTCGCGACGGGGCCCGTGCAACACCCCTTCGCCATGACCCTCCCGCGCGAGCCGGCGCCGCTGTCCCCCTCGAGCGGCCTCAGGCCACCCGTACGGCAGGCGCCGACAGCTCAGGCGTCCGACAGCCCAGTACAACAACCATCGCGCATTCGATGGTCATTCGAACCCTCAGCTGGCGAGTTTCGTTGGGATAGCTGGGAGACTCTCTAGCGCTGCCCGCGAACTGCTGGTCACGCCTCCTCCTCCTTCTCCTCTCCCCTTTCTCCCCCCTCGCCCTCCCCCCACTTCCCCCTCCCGCCCTCCCGATCCACCTCCTCCTCCTCGTCCTCCTCCTCCTCCTCCTCATCCTCCTTGTTCTCCTCGTCCTCCTCCTCCTCCTCCTCATCCTCCTTGTTCTCCTCCTCCTTGTTCTCCTCCTCCTCCTCCTCCTCCTTCTCCTCCTCCTGCTCCTCCTCATGCTGCTCCTCCTCCTCCACACTCCCCCTCCCGCCCTCCCCATCCTCCTCCTCCTCCTCCTCCTCCTCCTCCTCCTCGTTCTCCTCCTCTCCCTCCTCCGTGTTCTCCTCCTCATCATCTTCCCTCTTCCCCTCCTCGTCGTGCTCGATCTCGTCGTTGTCCTCCTCCTCCTCTTTTCCTTCCCCCCGTCTCCGCCTGCTCCCCCTCCTCCTGCTCCCCCTCTCGCGTAACGTCGTCGAGTACTCAGAACGCTCTAGGTCTGGGCTGAAGGCGCTTCTAACGCACGAAGACAAGAGCCACCAAACGAGAGTGTTCATTGGTTCAGATAGGAGCGAGGACAACGAGACAGTGCAGCTGAGCGGCAGAGGCAAGGCACACAGCGAACGCGCTGAGTGAAAATATGACACACAAGATAACGTGGAACCTCCGACGCCTCCACCAGAACCTCCAGAACCTCCACCAGAGCCTCCACCCAGTTGTGCCACGAGAAAGCAAACAGAGAGACGTCACATGCCCGCTGCCATGCGTGCCATCGAAGACCTAGAAACACCAGAGGGAAAATCATACTGGGGGCGGCGACGACGAATCCACACGTTGGTTCAGGACTGTACTCAAGCGCGCTGCTATGTGATCACGGACTTCCATCTGTCAGCCCATGTCCAAGCTGCACACACTCTTATCACGTATTGTTGGGACACCGCCACCAAGCACGAAAACTTCTGGTGCATCCGGTGTGCGCGCAGGCGTGCAAGGCCTTGGTGCAAGTGTGCATGGACACGTGCGCTGAACACATTAAATGCAGGTGGGATGGGGGGGTGGATGTGCACAGGAAGGTGTCATATTTGTCTTTCGCAGAGCCTCTCCCAATGCATGCAATCCAGATATCAAGTCCTCGGGCTCACCTCTCTGCCCACCCCCTCGCGCCGCATCTTCTGCGAGGTTTTCAAGCGAGACCCCATCGCAATTTCAACTCGGAGATATGCCCTGCGCGAGGCTTCCTCACACATCCGGCACACACGCACACACACTCCTTGAATCAGTCCTCACACATTCGCGCAAGACTACCAGATCTTTGCCAATGAACTCTCTCTCTCTCTCATTTCCGTCGCGAACCTGGAGCCTCCGTCTCCTCGACCTTCGCGGGCTGTCCCCAGCAGTCGAGGGGGCAAGCATCAAGCATCCTCATGGGGGGCAGCGGTGCTTCGCCAGCGACGCAGCGCCCTCGCATCCCACGACCCGCGCGCGGGCGGGCGCGGGCCCTCATCGCGAGCGATGCCTTGGAAGACTGACCGCCCACAGGTGGCCCGAGCGAACGCCCGGCTGCCACGCTGGGCCCGCCCATGCCAGCGGGGTCGGACGCAACATCAGCACGCTTTTGTCTGCACGAAGCTGCTGCGCGAGGCCCGCAGGTCCTTACCCCCCCCAGGGAGCCGACGCTGGTAGTCGAACAATGCGTGAAAAGTGCTTGGGACAATCGGTTTGGACGCGAGTGCGGGTACCCATCTTGTTCTTGAAATTCTCGAACTCTTCGCGGCTGATGGTCCCATCACCTTGGTGGCACTGTCAGCCAATGCCAAGCAATGCAATGAGACACAACCTATGGCAGCGCACCGCTATGTGCTGCAAAACTGGGCAAGATACAGCGTCAATGAAAACCCGTCAACCCCGTCGGCGTGTGTGAGGGGCTTGTCTGTTCGAGTCGTCGTCTCCGTCAGTCGTCGTCTCCGTCGTCCCCTTTCCCTGCAACCTCCTCCCAAAGGGGGGGTCTCGGGGGGAGGTTCATATACGCATCCCCCTGCGGCCCCGGGGCCTCAGAAAGCACCAAGACAGGCCAAGAGTGCCCCAAGAGGCCCCCGAGACGGTCCAAGAGGGCCCCCAATCGCCAAACGATCGGTCAAAAACGCCTTCACGCCCTTCAGACTGCCCAGGAGGCCGCCAAGATGCCCCAAGAAGCCTCCAGGTGCACTCCCAAGAAGGGCCCCACGAGGCAAAATTGATTGATTCCCCTTCGGTTTTTGAGGATTTGGGCGTTCTCGCCTTCTTACGCTCCCCGCCGCTCCAATACGGCCCAAGAGGACCCTAAGATCGCTCCAAGACGGCGTAAGAGGCCTCCAAGAGGGCTCCCAAACAGCCCAAGAGGACCCCAAGACACCACACAACGCCTCCAAGACGGCCCAGGAGGCCCCCAAGACGGCTCCAAGAGCGTGCCCAGACGTGGGACCAGAACGGACGTTTCGAGCCCTCGGCCCCGAGAGGCTCCCAGGAGGTTCCAAGAGTTTCCACAGGGGCTCCAAAAGGCCCACAAGAGGTCCCAAGGAAGCCCGAGAGGGCGCTACGAGGCTCCCAGGAGGCCCTTAAGAGGATTCCAAGAGGCCCCAGAATTCTTCCCCAGAGGCCCCGACCCCAAGAAGCATCCCTCTGGCCCACGTCAGCGTCGTCGTCGTCGTCGTCGTCGTCGCCGCCACCGCCGTCCGTTGTCGTCGTCGTCCCCCTTCAGGGTCCAGGGCACCGGCCCAAAGGCCTTCGCAATACAATCTAGAACATACGTTGTGCTAGAATGAAAGCAATGCGAGGCAGACGCTTGCTGAATAAAACAATGTGAGGCCAACGACAAACACAAATGGAACGGCACATTCAGAACGCCGAAAGCTGCAGAGACAGCTGGAGGAGAGCATGCGGAATGGTCTTCGAACGATCATCCTTTGGGCCGAATTTCTTGTCCGCGCGTGCATGTGGTGGTGGAGGGCACGTGCGTCAAAACACGTGCGTCACTGGCCCGTCTGTCCGTGGCCAACAGCTGCGTAACCGATTGTTCCGTGGCCCGTGGCTCCAATGGTCCCCGGTTCTATGGCCGTCTGTCCCGTGACTATTGGCCCCGCGGCCCTCGGATCTTTGGCCCACGGTTCCATGGCCCATAGTTCTGCGGTTTATGTCTCCGTGCCCTTAGAGTCGGTGTCTATGGGTTCGGTGGCCCGCGGTGGCCCACGCCGTGGTTCAATGGCCCACGATTCTGTGCGCCGCAATGGTTTCACAACTCATGGTTCTGTTCATCTTGGCTGCGTTGGCCATGATTCGTTCTGAAATCCATGATGTCGTATCACGTGACTCCATTGACCTCGGTTCGATGGCTGGAGGTACCGTGATTCGGGTGTCCGTTTTTCTTTGACCTTCGGTAGCGCTGCCGTTTGCCCGTGCAGTGGTAAGCGTATGCCCACAAGCTGCATCGGGCCTCACTGTTTTTTTTTTTTTTTTTTTCTCACGCAATCTCGTCCTCGTGTAACTTGCTCTTCTCCTCCTATTCCTCGTCGGTTCAAAGTACTTGTGCCCACCCTCTTGCACAATGCCTGTTTCCAGAATCAACGATAAAGAACAACACGAGATCGTGCCGCAACAACATGTGTTATAGACATGGAGTAGGTTCAAGATGTGGCCTGGGCAACGCGAGCATGCTGTCAACACCATACCAAAACCATCTGGACAATTCTCTTGAACAATCAATCGTCCACCATCGTGCACCTCACGGGCACCTTGAACAATGAATGACCCCCTCCCCACCCCCCGTAATGTCGCGCCGAGCGAACGTCGGAACCGCACCCTGCCTGCCCCTCTCGCCGAGGTCACCGTCCTCGTCCATCAAAGCCATCATGTCGCTCAAGGGCACTGCGCCGTCTCGGTTCAGGGCGCCGAACAAATCCTTCGCAGAGCGCTGCGCCCACCCCTCCCCACTCCACCTCAGAATGACCGCAACGCGCGCGCTTAGGGACCATGTTGGGGATTGGGGCATCGTGGGGCCCTCTTGGGCCTTCTTTGGCTGCAGTTGGAGCGTTGTTGGCGCCCCTTTGGGCCATCTTTGGGTGATCCTCGGTGCCTCCTCTCCTGGGCCATCTCGGACGATCTGCAGACAAAGAAAACGAGTACGCTAAAACTAATGGAAAACCATTGGCGAGTCAATGAATCGTACCTCTCGGAGGCCTCTTGGAGTTACAGTCGGGGCGTTGACCTGAGGAACCCTAAAGAAGGAACGAGGCCCCCTTTTCCCACAAGTCGAACTTCGATGTCGTATCGGGAGCCAAAGGGAAATCTAAGGCAAACTGCGAAACAATTAAGGCATACGGAGCCCCTTCCCAACGAAAAGGGTTCCTTCTTCAGGGCCCCGACTGTACACCCCGCGAAATGCTTAAGAAATCATGGGTTAAGAAATTCATAGTCTCATGTTTTAATGTATGAACTCATAGTTCATACATTAAAACATTAAGAATAATCGAGACTCTGGCCGAACATTTAAGATTTCTTAAGCATTGTCTAAGCTGTACTCTTGGAGCGTTCTTGGCGCGTCTTGGGCCGCCGTGGAGGCACGCGGGAGCGACGGTCGGGCGTCATACTGGGCCGTCCAGGCCACGTCTTGGTCTGCTTCGCGGCCTCCTGGCGCCGCTCCGAGGTCGAGCTCGTGACTTCGACCGCTCTTGGAACCTCCCAAAACTCTGAACACAGCCCTGGACCCGCGGGGATGGAAATCTGGCATCCAAGGGATGGCCCCACTTGGCACTGTGTGCTGGCGGGGGCTGGCCGGGGCGAACATGCAAGATCGCCAAAAGCCCAAACAAAAACATGGACGACCCCTGATCTTCGCCCCTGGGAGCCCTCTTGGGGTGCCTCGTGGACCGCTGTTGGAGCGCCTCGAGGGCGTTACTGGGCCGTCTTCAAACGCTTCTGGGGGCCTCCTGGGGGGCCACTTGGGGGCCTGTTTGGGCCTCCTGGGGGTCCCAGCGCGCGGAGAGGTCTAAGGCTTGCTCCGTGCTCCCCCTCTGGGGCCGATCTTGGGCGGTTCCTGACACGTTCTCGGGCCGTCTCGGAGGTTTCTTGGGCCGTTTGGGGGCCTGTTTTTTTATTCCGGCGGGCGATGGGGGCGCGACGAATCGTTTGGGTGACGGGATCAATAATCTTACGACCAAGCGGAGTCATCCCGGTAAGAACAGTATCAAACATAACAACAAAGTATGGAGTCAAGACTCCAGAAGGGCGCACGATGCAGATTACTGCTTGTGCTCAGAGACTCCACGTATTCCCTCTCCCCACTCACCGCACACCATCCTGCCCCAATTCCACGTGCTACACTTTGCAACCCTGCTGGTCAGAAACTTTACGGACGTTCTGGCGAAGACACGACGACACTGCCGCTCCTACACCTGAGATGCCAAAAGATACTGGTCGCACTCAATTTGTCAAGCCACGTGGCCCGCGCACCTAGACACACGTGGGGCAAGAACCACATCTAGATCATCTCGCTCTAAGATGCCCAAATGTTATTTTAGACAGGGGAGCTCCGAGGTCTGACGCCCGGGTCGCAATTGCCGAAACAGTCCAACGCCATGGGATTCATTTCCGATGACGGGAAACTTGAAGCAAGCCGACCAACGCCTGGTGCAACTGATTTGATAGGTTTTCCAGCTTGCGCAGCTGCAGAGGACTGAGGCATTCGCCTGATGAAGGCCCTCTGGGGGCGACGTGCGCTCGTTGCATCTCTGATGCGCGGAAAGCAGCGCCAGTCCGCGTCGCGTGTAGGTCTTCACAGGCAATATCCCTCAATGCATTCTCAACAGCTTCGTGCACCTTCGTATCAGGAAAATAAGCTGCATACCGACTGAACGAAGACGTCATGAATAATTGGGTGCTTGTTACATCTGCGGGGTTCCATATGTGGAGGCCACGCGCAAAAACCAATCAACAACATTCAATGTGGCTTTGTGTTTCACCTGTCGTGAACACTTGCGACCCAATCGCACAACAACTGGTAAAAAACAACGATTCTGCTGGAATTCATGTTGAGTCAGCAACGAACTGGGAGACAATCGAATTCACGAATGTAAGCAATTTACACGACAACACAACACGTGCTGTGGAATTCCTGGCACATGAAATTGTACCCAACCAATCTTTTCGTTTGCGCTCTTCTTGCATGGAAATCAACTCCCCAATATACAACTTAGATACCGTGAGGCTTCCCTTAAACAATGAAGGGGCTGGCATCGTCCAGCCGTCACTTTGGAGCAACGACTGCTGACCCTGCAAACCAGATTGAACGGACTTCGTCCCGTTCTTATGGGGTCCAATGTGAATCTGCGCCCATGTCAGATGCCCCACGTTGTGTTGCGCCAGTTGCCTGTGAAACAATTTGCACGTATAAAAAGAGGCGCGCACGCAAGATTCGCCATGCTTGAGGCCGCCGCGTGTACGCGTGAACGCGCAAGTGTCATCATGCTTCTTTCTACGGTCCGTTTTGGGGGCCTCTTGGGCCGTCTGGGCGCCCACTTGGGAGCCTCTTAAGCCTTCTCGGGGCGATTCTCAAGGCCTCTGAGGTAGTCTTGGAGCGCCGGGTAGCGGAAAGTGCCAAAACGGTAAACAGATTCAATAAACACTTGAAAACCAATGATTACTGCCTCTCGGGATCCTTTTTGGGGAGCCCCTCGGAACCCTCTTGGAGTGGGCTGTTTGGAGGCTGTCGTGGAGCGTCTTGGGTACGCCTTGGGCACCCTGGAGGCCATCAAGAGCGTCTGGGACGTACAGTTCTGCGACGCGGTGCCGTCTTAGAGGAAAAAGAACTATGCACATGCACCGATTCTGGCCAGGCCCATCCTGAGCCCAGGATCGGTGCATACGCCCTCCTACCTTGGCCAGGAAGGCATATGCACCGATCCTGGGTCAAAGATGGGCCTTGCCAGGATCGGTGCATGTGCATAATTCTCTTCGCCCGACGTCTGGTGCCGTCTGGGGCACCTCTGGGGACGTCTCAGGGACGGGTCCGGGCCCCCTGGCACCACTGTGCGCTGCCGGGCCCTGGGCTCCTGGCCGGCCCCTCGTGAACATGTATATATATATATATATATATATGTGTGTGTGTCTATATATATATATATATATATATATATATATATATATATATATATAGATATGGTCGCCCCCCCCCCCCTCCCCAGCACCCCCAAACCACCAAAATCACAAAATCTTCATCGATCGTTTGCTCGTCGTCGCTCTCCTCCTCCTGCTCCCCCTCCTCCTCGAAAGCCTTGGGAAACCTGCGAGGAATGATCGGCATTGCGAAAAAAACAGCGAAAACCGTGCCTCTGGCACGAAGTGGAGTGCCCTTTGGCTCATGCAGCACCGAGGGGTAGACGTTGCTGCTGCTGCAGCGAGGATTGTAAGTCTCTAGTGGCCCGGACCAATCGTTTTCCAGGCCTTTCCGGGCTGGCTCCCGTGAGCTCTGAGGTGTTTCCTGCGCCTCCTGTAGACGCTGTGCCCCGCCAAAGCGACATCCCGAGCCCCAAGACGGCCTAAGAGTGCCCCCAAGACGGCCCAAGAGGCGTCCAAGACGGCCCAAGGAGGTCCAAGACGGCCCAAGGTCGTCCCAAGACGGCCCCCAAGAGGACTCAAGAGAAGGAAAACGAGTCGAAACTCCGAGCCTTCCGTTCCAAGAGGCCCCAAGAGGTCCCCAACAGGCCCCCCAAAAACCAAAAAGAGTCCCCAAGAGGCACCAAAACGGCCTCCAAGATGCTTCAAAACTGTCTCTAAGAGGCCCCCCACGAGACCCCAACGAACATCCAACAGTCTCCACAGCCCAGGCATGGTGGCGGAATGGGCCGAAGGCCATTCTGTATATGTATGTGTGTGTATATGTATGTATGTACGTATGCATGTGCGTATGTATGTCTGTATGTATGTATGTATGTATGAATGTATGTATGTATGTAGGTAGGTATGTATGTATATCGGAGGTTGGGGGGTGAGATCGAAGTGGAACGGAGAGCCCCCCTACCGGGAAATCGATTTCGGTTTCGTGTTCGTGCGTGCCGTGCGTGCGGGCGAGGCGAAGCTGCGTGGGCGGGCGAGAGGAAAGTCTCCTGTGGCTGAGGCGCGGCCGGACCAAATGATTCTCCACCGGGGCGCGGGGCCGCGCGGTGTCCCGCCGGTGTCCCAGTGGTGTCCTCTGTGGCTGAGGCGCGGCCGCACCAAATGATTCTCCACCGGGGCGCGGGGCCGCGCGGTGTCCCGCCGGTGTCCCGGTGGTGTCCCGTCGGTGTCCCGATGATGATGATGTTGATGATGATTATGATGATGATGATGGTGATGATGATGATGGTGATGATGATGATGATGTTGATGATGGCGATGATGCTGATGGTGATGATGAGGATGATGATGATGATGATGATGTTGATGTTGTTGATGATGATGATGATGACGACGTCGATTGTGAGATCGATTGTGATCGGAGGTTGGGGGGTAAGATCGAAGTGGAACGGAAAGCCCCCCTACCGGGAAATCGATTTCGGTTTCGTGTTCGTGCGTGCCGTGCGTGCGGGCGAGGCCCCGTGCACCCACCAGCTCTCTCCGAGCGCGCCCCGTTCCTTCGGGCGGCCGCGCGGGCTCGCCGCCGCGGCTGGAAGCGAATCGAAAAACTGGGGCGTCTGGGCCCGTGGAGTTCGGCCGTCTACATAAAAAGGGATACGCCGACAGGACGCCGGCGCGGGCCCCTGGGAGGGGTTCCGGTTCCGTTTTGAGGTTGGCGCCGAGGTTCGGTCGAGGTTTCCTGGCCCTCGGAGGCCCTGCTCGCCGCCGCGGCTGGAAGCGAATCGAAAAACTGGTGCGTCTGGGCCCCTGGAGTTGGTCCGTCGACATAAAAAGGGATACGCCGACAGG